ATATTTTTGATCGGTTTTACTTATTACATTTTTACTTTTATTTGGTATGATTATAAAAAAATTATAAATATCTATAAAAATATAATTATTATTGTACTAATTAAAATTTCACATTTAACCTTAGTAATAAAAAAGTGGTTGGAAAGTTAGAATGTCTTTCTTTTAAGAACGAAGTAATTATTAATAAAGTTGAAAAATAGGAATAAAATTAGAAAAGAAAACTTGAATGTTATGTTAAAAATTGAAATTCACAAATAAATTGGACCATTTATTTTTAAAAGTGTGATAAGTAAAATTGATCAGAAGTAGTCACTGGTTATGGCGTTTAAAAAATATTTTTATGTTAAATCTCAAACAATTTGAGTACATAATAGAACTTTTTTTGTTTATTTTTAATAGATTTATTTTGATTTATTAATTTTTTGGATATAAATTTCAAATGAAAATTTAACCACTTATATGAACAATAATTGAAAATTTTTTTTATATAAAATTCCTTTTGAGTGTTTTTATTCAATCAAAAATTTCAATTATCATTTATATCATATATTAAATTTTTATTTAAAATTAATGTCTAAAAAATCAAAACGTTAAATTAAGTTTATTAAAAATGAACGGAGGATGTAATACCTAACAATTAATTAAACAAAATTTAGCCATAATTTTTTCTAGTCTTTTTCACTCTCAAGTTAGTCAAGACTTGAACAATGAACATTATACATATATACTATTTCTGTTTATTTTTAGTAGATTTAATTTTTTTTTGTTTAATAAAATACAGATATAATAATTTATTAATAAAAATCCATATTTATTCTTAATTAAGTAGCTTTTAAAAATGATTTTCTTATTTAATATATATTATAATCATCTTTTTAAAATAAAAATAAAATAAAAATAAACACATTAAATGATATAAAAAAATAGACAATTAAATTTAAATATCCTAAATAAGCAACTAAATTTACTAAAATTGAAGTCAGGAGTAATTTTTTATTTGGTGGTTGGTCACTGTTATTGGACATTCTACTTATTATAAGATGTAATATTGTTTTGAACAGTTATGCTTTTAGGTTTAAATGATAATTTGACAAAGTATTAAAAATGAACTTTTAAGCTGTGCTTGAATTAGTTACTCAAATGTTACTAATAGTTTGATAGTCAATATCTTATAACTAATAATTATTAAATATTATTTATATTCTAAAATATTTCAACTATCCAATTAGAGTTAATAAATAATACAAATTTGGTTTGGTCAACAGTGATGATCTAGTTGCCAGCAAACGTGAAACGCCAACAAAATGGTTTCCTCTTTGAATATTGTTTTCCTGACAGTCAACTGGTTCACTGTTAGTCTATTATTACACAAGAAACCACTAAGAAAATGACCTTTTCAATTTTTTTTTTTTGTAGGGTAATTCAAAGAAAGAGAAAATGCTATTTCAGTTTATGTTCATAAAAATAAAAATGTTTACAATCTCAAAAATCTTGCCCATCCCATGCAAATTACTAACTACCACGTGATTGAAAATCTTCTATTCGTGGAATCTTATTAAGAATAATCTTCTATAATCAAATTACATTATGAAAGAAGATGATTTTTTTTTTTTATCAGCAAAATCAAATAAAAAATATATTACTTAGGAGTATAAGAAATACTCCGAAACACAATACAACCCTCAAACAAAGGTTCAAATGTAATCGCTTTACAAACACATAAGATATTACAATTTAGCACATAAAACTGCAGAAAATTAAGTAAAATAAAAGAGGATGATGTAGTTGTGGTCAACAATGAGGCTGCAGGTTCCCATGGAGACCTGCATAGTTGGGAAGCGCCAAGGGAAGGTGTTATTAAAATAAGGAAAATGACTAATACATCCTCGATTCAATATATTTTTTTATTTATTTTTAATTTAGTCAATAAAAATATAATATAAATATAGTCAATTTAATCGATTCCGTATCTTGCGTGCATAATTATATCATTAAATTTATCTGTCTTTAATTTTAGACTTAAAAATAATAATTTTTTAATTAATATATCATATAGTATGTCAAATCGAAATGTGTAGCAATCACTATCTTTAAAATAAACGTGGATATTGCCATTCCCACGGGACAGGAAGTTATGCACCTTGGAGTTGTCCCCAGAGATAGTGGGTTGAAGGTCTTACTTTTAAAGGACCCTGTTTTCATGCTGAAATCCTTTCCATTCATTTTGCTGCGCAATTAGGAAAGGAATT